CTTTTCCTAAATTACCCGTCACATAAAAGTAAAAACACCTTGTCCAAAGCCCCGTCACCCCACCCCCCCCACTGTTTTCCCAAAATTTTTCGTAAACCCAAACCCCGCATAAAGCACAACCCCCCCCTTCGGGTTCGTACTTCCGCCTCCCTCCTAAATTTTCCCCAAACCCTCCCCCGTTACCCCCTAAACATGGATAGCCGCAGCGCCTGCCTTTGCTTTTGATGCCCCAAAACACACGCTGACGGGTTTGTTTCCCCCAAAACACTTCCACCCCCCCCTGGGCCCGCATCCCTTTCAGCTTGAAAAACCTTTCATTTTGGGAAAAACCCCCAACCTCCCCCTTTTTTTTTAGCAAAATTTATCCATAGGAAAATTTTTCCCCCACCCCCCCCCCATAGCAAACTCTTAAACCCAACCTCTAAATATTTTCCAGGGCCCTAAATTTTTAAAATTTTTAATACGTTTTCCTTTTTCTCACATAAAACCCTTTTTAATCCTTTCCTTTCGAAAACTATCCCACCCCTGGGCACAATGTCCCTCCACTCCCTGTTTTTCCACACAAACTCCCTCCTAGGAAATGAAAAACCCCTCCCCCCCCTCCCAAACTCCTAACAAACTTTTATTCAATTTCCAAAAACTTCTATATATGTCCGCAGCGGGCCCCCACCCCAAACCCCACCACCACTGCCCCATGATCCACCCTTGTAGTCTCAACATACTGAAAATTTCAAAGTTCACTTCCCTGAGAAGGTACACTCACTAGTCCCCCGCAAACATAACCACTCCCCAACAAACGTATATTCCGTCTCCCACAAACCCCCCCCCCCAAAGGGATCACGTAACCTAAAAATCCCTTTTAAAAAATCCCTAAGAGCCACAGACATTACCCCGCTCCCCCTTGGGTTTACAAACAGCCACCCGATTACACTATTCCAGCCCCACCAACTATCGCCAAACCCCTGGGAGTGCACTTTAAAAAAAACACCCAAAAAAACCCCACACAAAAAACATTCTTTACCCTTTAAAGTTATTTTTTTTTTCTGCCGGCGCATACACCCCCACAAAAAACACACGCTTTCCCACCACCACCCACCCACTGCAAAAAACCCTCCCTCCCCCCCCCTCCCCGCTCCCCCTGCAAAAAAAACGGGGGGTCGTCTCCCTTATTAAAATTCCCACACCCACCTTTTAGACGGGGGGATTGGGAGGGTAACTAACCCGAAATCCTGCCACCTCCCAAAACCCCCACCCTCTTTGAAAAATTTTGGGTTTCCCGCAGGAAAAACAACATCCCCCTCTAGATTTTTTTTCAGAAAATTACGAAACCAATCTCTCTTCATACCGCCCAACATAACCCCCTTTTAACATTTTCAGACCTACACCCCAAGGGCCCATTAAAGTTTTTCCCCCCCTGCCCCTCATCCCCTCTTTTCAACCCCAGAGCTTTAATTTTCCCTTCAACACCTTCAAAATGCTCCTTTTTTCCCCCCCCCCTTCTTTCCCCGGGGCCTCCTATCCTGGCTACCACCCCCTACAAACCCCTACCTTTTACACTTGACCCCCAGTCTTTTTCCCCCGGCCTTTGCAGGCGTAAGGGCGTCAAACAGAATCCCGATGTGCCGCCCTCTTTCTCGTGACAGTCATGTTTCACATATCTTGAAAACCCGATGTTACCTCTCGATTTAAAACCCCCACCTCCACCTGAGAATGGTTTTAATGAGTCAATGGATGACTCCCCAAACCCCCATCACTCCCAAATTTTCATGTCTCAGACCTTTTTGGAAGCGAAAGAAATTTTCCAAATTTACACCCCGCTCAGAAAAGTTTTAAAATCCCTCTCTGGGGGTGACAACGTCTTCAAAAACCTCCACCAATTCCTCCTCAATTTTCCCTGAACCTTCTCTTGTACTTGCTGCTCCTCCTTAATTCCACAGGAAAACGAAAACCTGGGTTTAGGCAAATTTTTGGGGGGCTCCAACTCAAACCCCCAGCCCCGTGTGCCCCCCATCCACTATCTCGCTCCACAAAAAACCAAGCCCTCCATCCCCATGTTTGTTCCTCACCCCACCTTTGAAGCAGGGGCTTTGAAAGTCCCCCCACAGGGCCAGGGGACATGTCTTCGCTTGTCACAAAATCGCCGGGTATGGGGATCAACTCACCAAAATAGGCGGCACCCTACGTCGTTGTCCTGGGGACATTACCATTACCTGCGTCCCCGAAATCTTTTAGGTTTCACAAAGGATGGGAAATTTTTGCCCCAAAGTCATTTTTTAGGGTTGAAAAAAAAACCCCTGGAAAAACCCGCATAGGCTTTCCGCCCCCCCACGTACCAGGTTTTTAGCATAAAAGCAACCCTCCCCCTACTTTTTCAAAAAAATTTTTCCCTTTTATCTGGGCCCGTCCGCCTCAAAAAGGGGAAAGTTTGGGGTTTAACTTGATCCCGTATAAATACCGTGAAACATCTATCATTTTTTACCCGTGACAGCTGGGGTGACGTTAAGAATCAAAGTCCCGAAACCTGGTGATTAACGTTCATAAACCGTTTCAGATAGCAGTTTTTACGAAAATTCGTTGTCCTCCGGGTTTAATGCCACACCATACAAGGGCATTATCTTGTACTCCATTAATTTTCCCGAAAGATCTTTGGCAAAAAGACTTGCGCAGAACTGGGCTTTCGTTCCTTTAAGTACCGATTCCTACAGTTTTTTAAACCTTCGTCCTCAGACTAAAACCGCCCAAACTTGACGATCACGTGCACCCAAGGTTTTTTAGCCGGGTGGGGGACAGCACCCCTTCCCCCCACTGCAAACCAGGTAACTGACAAGGGCGCTCGCCTACACACAGCAGAGGGGTGCAGAGCACTACCGCACACTACCGTGGTCAGGCAGCGTGTGGTTGCTATAATTGTACATACATCCATCATGCACCCACCCCTTACACATTTTACATAAGGTGCCTTTTCTGTTTTTCATGCGTACTTTAGTACAGTGTATGCACCTGTTTGGTAGTGTTTGAGATAATAATGGCTGTATTGTCTCACATTGACCTATGTATGCATTACATATGGAGTTAAGGTTATCATTCCTAGCTACTAGACCGTCATTATTGCCGTCATTTATCTGTCTGTTTTGCCTCTGCACAATTAGTTTGAGGTCCTGGATTAATTTGGATATCACCACTTAAGAGCGCTACAATAAGAGCTGTGTGCCACTGTTTTTGTTTAGGTATGCGGTGTTGCCATACCTTGCGGCGATAGTGACATTTACTTTTCTGGTAGATGGCAACTGTTGGGCTTTTACTGTCCAGGCGCTGTTACTCCATTCATCTTTTCCAGCCCCCATGACTGATTACTTTCTTCATGAATTGAAGAAGAAATATAAATATAATTATGGCAGCCTGGTACCCCCTAATGCCTGCCATTTTCACTCTTCGCTCTTTTACTCATATACAATATTTATTTCTCTTTTCCTTTCCCTAGTACACTTAGTATCTGCTTTAGCAATCACCACTGAATTACTAGTAAAATTTCCTCTTCAAAACCCTCTTCACTGTTCACTTTTCCCTGGTTTTATCCTTCCAAATCCCCCTCAGTTCCATTTATCGGGGGTTGTGTGGTGTTGTTGTCTCCTGACCTGTTTTGCTGATTCAGCCATTTTTAAAACACTGAGGGGAGTAACGCCACCTACAACCTGACTTTCCTTGAGTTTATAGATATATTTGGCGTTTTCTGCTATGATTCTCTCACTGTACACTGGTCAGCTGAATATAGGTCAGCTACTATAACATTAACCTTGACTGTTTAACTATTCACTTCTTTCCCACGACTGGCACTGAGGGATATCCGACCTATAACCTTGGAGTTTTGTACTGTTGATTTGACGATGTCTCCTGTGTTTTCCCTCTCGTTAGCACTGGTACAGGTGATAATGATGATGGTACAGATATGATGCTACTGTCAACAGATGAACGTCAGTAAAGATGAGAATTTCACTTCGCTAGTTGTACGTCTGGCAGTAGCGGCTGTTGGATGCCGGTCAGCCATGTTTAAATGCTCAATTCTTTCCCTCGTTTGGCACTGAAGAAAAAAGTCCTACAGACCTGTCATTTCCTTGGAGATTTAGTTGATCAGGTTTTCTGCCATGTTGTCTTCCCGTTAAACACTGGTGCAGTTGATATGGAGGTCAGTTATTTCATTGTAGTGGAAAACGTCTCATGTCTGGTTCACGTCTGGCAGCAGGTCTGGTACTTGAATGCCGGTCCCTCTTTTGTCATATTTAGTCCATTTCGTTGTCGTCACCGTCAGTTTTTATGTCACTATAGGTTCCTTGCATGTTGTTGCAGCAGTACTTGCCAACTTGGCCATCACTGGAGTTCGGATAGGCCCAGGGGACGGCAAGATGTAGGAGCAGCCTTGTTGCTGCTTGCTGCGGCTGCGGCCGCTACAACTGGACAAGTTGAAGATTGAGACACTTATGCAACATATGGGAATCTTTATTCAGGAAACGTTTCGCTACACAGTGGCTTTATCAGTCCAATACAAAGCAGGAAGCTATAAGGAGAGGAGTAGTTTGAGGTAATCAGTCCCTCAGCCTGGGAGTCGATGTGTTCAGTCCATCAGTCTTGTAGAATGTACAGCATAGGACCGTAGCAGTGTTATATACTGTAGTCAGGTGAGGCGAAGTGTCTCAATCTATTACCCTCTTCTTTATGTGGGAGGAGGGAAAAATGTCTTCATGCAAGTGAAGGGCTTTTGATCCAAGAAACTGAAGCTAGCCTATTCAGAGCAAACTTAATTACGCATCACCTATCCCATTCTCAGGCCTCGTTTAATAATCTTTACGAATTAGCGATTCATAATTAATGTAATATTACTAATAATTCAAAAAAATGCTACAGGTGCCCCCAAACAAAAGGATGTGAGGAAGCATTTCTGAACCTGACTAACTTATTCATTGCTTTTAAAGAAATATTTCAGCATCCTGTGCGTTTTCCTTCAGGTCAGTGATCTGCCCAGAGTCACCCCGAGCAGAGTCTTCATCTTCCATGGGATCCTTCAGTTTTCAGGACCCAATGCCCTACCTGGCGGCGGGGATGAGGGCCGTTGTCCAGGATTGCGTCAGTAAGAGCTTCACACCTGCAGAATTGAGGACTTGGAATATGCTCTCCAGGTGGGTAGAGTTGGATCTTAATTTACATAGTTGAGACTGAAATATGCTCACAAGTTAAGGAAGACATACTTAGGGTTATTAGTCCATGATAGTCTTACAAAGTCCAGTAGTTGGTGTATTTTACCTGGAGGCTCTTTCCTAGGATGCGACCCACAACAATCGGATAAAATTAGATGTTTCTTTAGATACTATTAGATGACCATATATAGCAAGTGTTATGAGACTTACCCACACATGATCAGCATGGGCATCAATCCTCGGTCCCTTCGGTTACGAGCCTAACATTCTAACATTATCTACAGTCTAGGAATGTAACTTACAGTAGAGTTTGTTCTTTGTTAGACTAGTAATGTGCTCAACATATTGAGTGTGAACCCCAGATGCACTTGTTAATGCTTGACTAAATAATTTAGACAACACCACGACCTTTGTTAGTTCTGCTTCTTTACAAATAACAAATCGCATACACGAGTTATACTCTCCAGGTGCTGGGGAAAGCTAATGGTGTTTCAAGAGTAATATACTTGCCTTATAACACACCACCAGTGTCATGTCACTATGTGTGCATCATGACTCTTCGGTACAGGACCAGGAGGAAACTTAGCCTTCGCATGAGTCCATCCCTAACGGTGTTCTGGGCGATGGGGTTTGTGGTACGGTGGGTGTTCCTCATGCCAGTGCGGGTGTTGCTGCTGGTTCTCAGTCTTACTACCTTGGTAGTCCTGTGCTCTGCAGTTGGTCTTCTTCCCACCAGCGACTTCAAGCGACGCCTCAACGCAGGTGTCGTCACCTGGTGTTTTTGACTTTATTGCTGGATCACTCTCTGTTGTTTGCCAGGTAGGGATACCAGTGTGTTTTCTTGCGCAGTATATGCAAAAGTGTCACATTGCGTAACAATAACATATAATGTTCATATATCTAGTGAGCATATGATTTATATGCCTGAACTTTGAGGAATTACTTTCATTTACTTAGAATAACACAAAAAGCATATTAGATGACATCTTATCTCCTTTTTAGAATTATTGTTAATTTATTCTGTTAAAAAATGGCCTAAATGTTCCTCAAAGATTTCACAACAGTGAGAACCGGCCCACCCATGGCATCGTAGTGGCCAACCATACATCACCTATTGACTCCATGGTACTGGCTACTGACCAGTGCTATGACATGGTAGGTCCTACTGATTTACTAGTGTTATATTATTATTCTTACATCAACAGGAAGCGTTTCAACCATAGGAGTTACAAAGCGTTTAGGGAATGGGAGACATTGTTTTGATTCAAGGAAAGGGAGGGAATCCGAATTTCTCGGACCCTGACAACCCATCCTCTCAAATACTATGTGAATTTTTCTCATACGATTTGCAGCTAATCTCTCGATTTTCGTTAATAGGGATAAGGTCGGGTTAGGTTGTCCTCTGTCCAGTTATAACATACCATAAAGGAAATAAATGGAATATAAGATAAAAGCGATGAAAAAAAAAAAAGTTCTGGTGCGCTAAAAGAAAACTGGTACCCACTTATTGCAGTAGAAAATGGTGGGATTTTTACTAATGCATTTTCATGATAAAGATGCCACAATTATAAGACAGGTTGAATCTGCAATGGATCTAGTGTTCACTATACTCTAAATGAAACACAATGTGAACATGAACCACCACGAGACTGGTACATGAACTGCAAGGTTAACTTACGACAGGGGAAAAAAAAGACAGAAGGCCCCGGAGGTTTGGGGCTTACACAGATATTTTCCAAATGAGGTGGTGACGTTGATGAGGGGCTCTTGATGTTTGTGAGGGGGCTCTTGATCTAGGATTGTGCTCCAATTCCTTGAATTAGGCTTAAGTGCCTTCCATCCCCCCCGCCAACTCTGCATAATCCCTTCGGGTTCAGCGCTCCCATAATAATGAAAGACCCAGCTTACACAGCAAGTCAACAGGTTAAAAGAATTTGTATTGTTTGTTTAAACAATAGTCTGCAGTAAGCGATGTTGCCATTATTTGAGTTGTGTGAAGTTTTGCTGTGAAATGTTTCCTTCGAGGGAGGTTCCTTGATGCAAGTGAAGGCAGCGCTATATGACCCTGGTGGGTTTAGAGCTTAGTGTTGATAATTGATGCTGGTGAGGGGCTTTTGAGCCAAGGAATGGGACGTGTCATCTCGTTCCTTGGATCGAACCTGTTTCCTATTTCCTTTACAGGTTTTATGAATTAATTATGTGAGAAATTACGTGCACGAGGTTTACAGGGTATTACCTAAATTATTACATGCAAGTAATTTGGGCAAGGTAAGCGGGACTTAGTCACAGTAAGTCACAGTACTGTCACTCCTTCGATGCCCAGTGCATCACCACTCGCCAAAAGCTAGACCTAGTATTTAATAATTACAATATTAAACATTAATACCAATAATGGTAAATTATAAAATGTAGAAAGTATATGATTAGGCTTGCTGGGTACACAATATAATTATTGTACCTAAATTATAATGGTGTTGTTAGAAAAGAAATTCATAATACCACTTACCATTTAATTACTGTAGACAGATCACAAAACACCTGCCTAACAAATAGAATCCTACACTGGCCAGCGAGAAACCTAAATGGAAGGACTAATGACTCACTTCCCTGTGTGAGTGATGATGTAGTCGTCTTATCTTCCGTTATCCACATGTAATTCTGGAGGTCCCACAAATTTCTTGTCCCAATTCTTCAAAAAGGGGTGATTAATATGGGTCCTTATTACAAATTCAGGATGAAACACTCCAATTTTGGCCTCAATGATGCCAGATTATTAGCTGAATTTACCACACACCCAGTGCTAGCAAATTACAAACTGCTACTGTAAGTTACAGCACTAGATGCTGCAACTTACAGGAGCCTAAAGCTGATTGCTAGTTAAAAGGCGAGACCAGGAGCTATAACTCGACACCCGCAAATGGAACTAGGTTAGAAAGTGTGCATGCAAAAACACAGCTGATTCTATAGCTTTCTTGTATTTTTATTACCTTCTTATAATTAGTCTTCCTGCATGAAGGTGGGGCAGAAGACTAAAGGCATCCTGGGAGTGTTCATGATGGCACTGTCCAGGTCTTCATACCACATCTGGTTCGACAGATCAGAGGCCATGGAAAGATCCAGGGTCTCGAAAATGTAAGTTACGAATATTAATGTTCAAATGGTTGTGGGGATAGTTGTCTTGTAGATTAATAATATATATTACTAATCTGTAATGGCTAGTTATCTCATTTTATGGCTAACTGACTTATATTTAAGCACTAGTTGTCTTATAGTTTAGAGCTAGTTTTATATTTTAGAATTATTTTTTTACAAATTAAATCGTTATTTTGGAATGATGCTTTTAACAATTTTGTATTTATAGTAATGAGTACCAGTAAAAATTGTATTTAGTATTTTTGGGAAGTTTTAAACTTGTTGGAAATCAGGTTTGGTCTAAGAAAGGGTTGGGTAGCTCCAGTTCAAATCAAATCAAATGAAGTTTATTCTCTATAAAGATTACATTGCGGGGTTTACATGTTTTAGGATATTTGTCAGTGGAACGCCTTCCTACTGAACAAAAGAAAAATAATGGAAAAATAAATAAATAAAGAAATGATTTAGGAAAAACAAGAAAAATGATTTTTGAGAATTTTACTTAAAATTTAAATATAATAAAAAAAAAAATGGCCTTCAGTTCTTGTAGTTGGGTAGGAGTAGGTATGGCCCTGGATAGTTCCTCTGATGTTATTTATGTAGGTTATCCTGGGCAGATGGTAATCCGATGTTCTGGAATCTCCTACCACTTGGATGGAGCACAAGTAGTATAGGTAAGGGCCGGTAGTTGTAGAATAATGTTAATAAGTACTATTAACACGTCTTGCCCCTTTATCTGGCGTCTATCCTGAGACCACGCAGGAACAGAGTGACAAATAAGAAAAAAAAAACACTGGTTACCC